GACTAGCATCTGGCTCACCTCTCAGCGAGACACTGAGAACCTGAGCTAGCCACTCCCTCCCCCTCAACAACACAGAGCTCCAGTGAGCGGTGCTCAAAGTAGCAGGGAGATCTGAGCGATCAGCAGTGTCTGATCATTCAGTTCTCACCCTTAGAGCCAGAGGGGGACAGATGCAGCATCAGATTGATACTGCATCCACCTAGGGTAAGTATGATTTAAAAAAAAAAAAAAACATACATCTCATTTATTGATGTCTCCATGAGTGAAAATTTTGTATTAATAAAATAGCAGCTATGTTTTCACATAGACCAACAGATTTCAGTTGTGCCTCCCGTGTGGCCCAAGACAATTCCTCTTCTTCCAGTGTGGCCCAGGAGAGTTCAGAAGGTTGGACACCCTGTATTACAGGGACACACCACAAGTGTCGGGTGAGGTGCTTTGAACTAGATCAAATGACATTGACTGTAGTTAGTGAGCAGGAATTCTTTAGGCTCCAGGTTACTGGTAAAGATACCACTACAACCCATACAGTCAGTCTCACTTTTGCAGTATTAACTGGACAGGAGGAGGAGACCAAAGCTAACATGCAGCACACCTTACAGAGGGGGGGACTACGGAGGTTACGTTAGCGCATACACATTTACATCGACCCCCATCTTACATCTACTGTATGAACTGGTTGCAGTCCAGATCCGCCTGAAAAACACCGCTGCGAACTAGGGCTGAAACTATTAATCAACATAATCGATTATGATCGATTCTGAAAATAGTTGTCAACTATTTTCATGATCAATTAGTTCGCCAGCCGATTAGTTGGCCTGCATACAGAATGCATTATTTGTTTACATATCAGAAAATACAGTGCAGCACACATATAGCTCAGTACACCATTCATACATGTCAGTAAGTGCTTGAGAACTTGTGAATGTGTGAGGAGCAATGCCTTGTGGGACATGTAGTGCTGAACAGGAGAAGAAAGTGATTCTAAATGGAGAAGTTTATTTACCTTGCAATAGGGGCACTCTATATTCTACTTTGCGGCTTTGCTATAGGGGAATTCTGAAGGCAGGAGGAGCCAGAAATCTTGGTGGGGGACCACCGGAGGAGGATCGAGCTGCTCTGTGCAAAGCCATTACAGAGCAGGTAAGTATGACAAGTTTGTAGTTTAAAAAAAAATCCCTTTACTATCACTTTAAGGGCTCTGTGCAGGGAAGATCAGCATCTGAACCCAGAGAAGCTGGAGACTGATAGACTGGAAGCAAATATAAGGCATTACAATTTAAATTTAAAGTAAGTTTTTACCAGTATTGTGCAAAATACACTCAAAATAATAAAGGAACACTTTTTAATGAGAGTGTAGCATCAAGTCAATTAAACTCCTAGGATATTGATCTGGTCAGTTAAGTAGCAGAGGGGGGTGTTAATCAGTTTCAGCTGCTTTGGTGTTAATGTAATTAACAGGTGCACTAGATGGGCAATAATGAGACAACCCCTAAAACAGGAATGGTGTTACAGGTGGAGGCCACTGACCTTTTTTTCCTGCCTATCTTTTCTGTTTTTCAAAAGTTTTGCATTTGTCTAGGGTCAGTGTCACTACTGGTAGCATGAGACGATACCAGGACCCTACAGAGGTTGCACAGGCAGTCCAACTCCTCCAGGATGGCACATCAATACATGCCATTGCCAGAAGGTTTGCTGTCTTCCAGCACAGTCTCAAGGGCATGGAGGAGATTAGAGGAGACAGGCAGTTACTCTAGGAGAGCTGGACAGGGCCGTAGAAGGTCCTTAACCCATCATCAGGACTGGTATCTGCTCCTTTGTGCAAGGAGGAACAGGATGAGCACTGCCAGAGCCCTACAAAATAACCTCCAGCAGGCCACTGGTGTGAATGTCTCTGACCAAACAATCAGAAACAGACTTCATGTGAGTGGCCTGAGGGCCTGATTTCCTCTAGTGGGCGCTGTGCTCACTGCCCGGCACCATAAATCTTGATTGGCATTTGCCATTGAACACCAGAATTGAAAGGTCTGCCACTGGCACCCTGTGCTTTTCACAGATGAGTAGGTTCACCCTGAGCACATGTGACAAATGGAAAAAGGGTCTGGAGAAGCCGTGGAGAACATTATGCTGCCTGTAACATCGTTCAGCATGACTGTTTTGGGGGTGGGTCAGTGATGGGCTGGGGAGGCATATCCATGGAGGGATGCACAGACCTCTACAGGCTAGACAATGGCACCCTGACTGCCATTACGTGTCGGGATGAAATCCTTGGACTCATTGTAAGACCCTATGCTGGTGCAGTGGGTCCTGGGTTCCTCCTGGTGCACAAGAACGCCCAGCCTCATGTGGCGAGAGTATGCAGGCAGTTCCTGGAGGATGAAGGAATTGATAATCAATAAATGGCCCCCACACTCACCTGACATAAATCCAATAGAACACCTCTGGGATATCATGTTTTGGTCCATCCGACGCTGCCAGGTTGCACCTCAGACTGTCCAGGAGCTCAGTGATGCCCTGGTCCAGATCTGGGAGGAAATATCCTCAGGACACCATCCGTCGTCTCATTAGCAGCAAGCCCCGACGTTGTCAGGCAAGCATACAAGTACATGGGGGCCATACAAACTACTGAGTACCATTTTTGAGTTGCGCAATGAAATTTCAGCAAAATGTACTAGTCTGCTGCATCATTTTTTCACTTTGATTTTCAGGGTGTCTTTGAATTCAGTCCTCTGTAGGCTGATAATTTTCATTTCCATCAAAGGATGGGGCATCTTTACATTCCTAACACATTACCCAGTCCATATCAGTATAGATATCCAACATGATATTATTCCCCATTGAGTTCTGACTTGTTTTTAAAGTGTTCCTTTAATTTTTTTTGAGCAGTATATTTAAAATTATTCTATCCATGAAAAAGTCTCAGCCTTTAGTACTATGTTAATATAAACAGTTTACACACACACACACACACACACCTGACTCCCAGTTAAAATACCCTGTATATCCTACATGTGTGTATGTGTATGTATGTGTATATATGTATGTATATATGTATGTATATGTATGTGTGTGTGTGTATATGTATATATATATATATATATATATATATATATATATATATATATATATATGTGTATATGTATATATGTGTGTATATATGTATATATATGTATATATGTATATATATGTGTATGTATATATATATATATCCGTATCTCACAGAATTGAGTATACCGCTCACATTTTTGTAAATATTTTATTTTATCACTGAAGAAATGACACTTTGCTACAATGTAAAGTAGTGTACAGTTTGTATAACAGTGTAAATTTGCTGTCCCCTCAAAATAATTCAACACACAGTCATTAATGTCTGAACTGCTGGCAACAAAAGTGAGTACACCCTTAAGTGAAAATGTCCAAATTGTCAATATTTTGTGTGGCCACATGCTCTGCTTCAGTAGGTCACTGTACATGTTGGCATTCATGGTTCCCTCAATGAACTGTAGCTCCCCTGTGCCGGCAGCACTCATGCAGCCCCAGACCATGACATTCCCACCACCATGCTTGACTGTAGGCAAGACACACTTGTCTTTGTACTCACTTAGTTGCCGCCACACACACTTGACACCATCTGAACCAAATGAGTTTATCTTGGTCTCATCAGACCACAGGACATGGTTCCAGTAATTCATGTCCTTAGTCTGCTTGTCTTCAGCAAACTGTTTGCGGGCTTTCTTGTGCATCATCTTTAGAAGAGGCTTCCTTCTGGGACGAAAGCCATGCAGACCAATTTGATGCAGTGTGCGGCGTATGGTCTGAACACTGACAGGCTGACCCCCCACCCCTTCAACCTCTGCAGCAATGCTGGCAGTACTCATACGTCTAGACAACCTCTGGATATGACTCTGAGCACGTGCACTCAGCTTCTTTGGCCGTCCATGGCAAGGCCTGTTCTGAGTGGAACCTGTCCTGTTAAACCGCTGTATGGTCTTGGCCACCGTGCTGCAGCTCAGTTTCAGGGTCTTGGCAATCTTCTTACAGCCTAGGCCATCTTTATGTAGAGCAACAATTCTTTTTTTCAGATCCTCAGAGAGTTCTTTGCCATGAAGTGCCATGTTGAACTTCCAGTGACCAGTATGAGAGAGTGAGAGCGATCACACCAAATTTAACACTCCTGCTCCCCATTCACACTTGAGACCTTGTAACACTAATGAATCACATGACACCGGGAGGGAAATTGCTAATTGGGCCCAATTTGGACATTTTCACTTAGGAGTGTACTCACTTTTGTTGCCAGCGGTTTAGACATTGACTGTGTGTTGAATTATTTTGAGGGGACAGCAAATTTACACTATTATACAAGCTGTACACTCACTACTTTACATTGTAGCAAATTGTCATTTCTTCAGTGTTGTCACATGGAAAGATATAACAATACTTTTTGAAAAAATATCAATGCATGAATAGCCTTAAAATTAGTATGCGGGTTCATGGGGGCCCCTAGTTTCCTTATGTTTGATCCGGAGGTCCTGTTTGTCCCTGTGTCAGCCCAGCCTATAGTCATCACAGTACAATCTTGATCACCATCCATGGACAGCAGTTGTGAAACATTTGCCTGTGTAGTTTGTCTGAAATATGCAGCAAACTTGTTCGAGTTCTTGCATGGCAGGGCATTGTGAGAGACACCAAACCATTTTTATGTGTGAGCATTGCTCCTAAAATGTCATGTGGCTATTGATCTCAGAGGAAACCTTCACTTAGATGTTTAAAAACAGAGTGCCAGAAGCAAGGTGACTTTAACCTTGCCAAGCTTGAAGCTTCCTGGCGTTTTAGCAAAAAAGGATTTTTGTTTTTGTGATGGCAGATTTAATTACTTTCTGTGTGGCTGAGTCACTTGCTGATTTTTTTTCCCCCTAACTTTAATGGTAATGCAAGTTGTAGGTGAATTTGAATATTATGGTCATAATAGTTTACTTTGTTTTAAATTTATTTTCTTTCAGGGTCAACTCTCAATATTACAAGACAAAATAGATCACTTGGAGCGTCTCCTAGCAGAGAATAATGAGATAATTTCTAATATAAGAGACTCTGTAATAAACCTGAGCGAATCTGTAAAAGATGGTCAGAAAAACCCAGAAGCCATAAACTTTAGTCGTGGATCCCTTTCTCGGCTTTTGCCATCTGCACCTGTATTGCTTCCAATCAACAAGGAGGACTGTCAGTTTGCTTCTGCAAGTAGTAGCCAAAAATCCCAAGTCCAGGTAAGTCATTATACACACACACACATTTACGTTCTGTTATATAGTTTTGTCTATATGAAGAAGAGCATACCTGATATGCCACCTGATGTTCTTATATTGGTCACTATTACCAAAACTAGTATTTCTGTTTTGGGTAGATGATGACAAGGTTGATCATATCGCAAAAAGGATATCCCCCATGCCATGACTGCTGAGGGTCTATCTCTCTGTTGGGATTCCTTGTTCATATTAATGTTAGGATAAATTCAGCAGAAGGATTTAGTCTCCACATACTTGTTGGAAGGTCCAGTGCAGTTCAGGTGCTGAGTGGGACACTATAAACATTTTCTAGTATTTATTACATCTACTTTGTCCTTAAATCTGACATTTAGTGTGTGTGTGTGTGTGTGTGTGTGTGTGTTTGTGTGTGTCAATCAGCCATAACTATATTACCACTGAAGTGAATAACATAGACTGTCTTGTTGCAAAGGCATTTGAAGGTTGGTGGGATACATTAGACAGCAAGTAAATATACTGTCCCTGAAGTTGATGTGGTGAAAGCAGAAAAAAATGTCCATCGCAGTTTGTTGCATGTTGGGCTGTCAGACCCACCAGGGTGTCCATGCTGACTCATGACCATAGCCAAAAGTGCTTACACTGGGCATGTGAGCATCAGAACTGAACCACTGCAAAATAGAAAAAGGTAACCTGGGCCAATGAATTACATTTTCGTTTACATCATGTTGATGGCTGGGTGCTTGTGTGTCACTGGGGAAGAGATGATACCTGGATACGCTATGGGAAAACGGCAAGCTGGCAAAGACAGTGTGATGCTTTGGATAATGTTCTGCTGCAAAACTTTGGTCCTGACAGGTACCACCTACATAAAACATTGTTGCTGACCATGGACACATCTTCGTGGCAGCTTTATTCCCTGATGGCAGTGGCCTCTTTTAGCAGGATAGTGCACCCTGCCACACTGCAAAAAATGGTTTGAGCAACACAGCAAGTTTGAGGTGCTGACTTGGCCTCAAAATTCTCCAGATCTCGGCCCAATAGCGCATCTGTGTGATGTGCTAGAAAACGTTTGATCCACGGAGGCCCCACCTCACAACTTACAGGACTCATGGATCTGCTACTGACGGCTTGGTGCCAGATACCACAGCATGCCTTCAGAGGTCTAGTGGCATCCATGCCTCAACAGGTCAAGGCTGTATTAGTTAGAAAATGTGGACCTACACAATATTAGGTGGGTGGTCATAAAGTTATAGCTGATCTGTGTGTGTGTGTGTGTTTGCTTTCATATATGGGGTGAGCGGGCACTACAGCTTTTCTCTGAAGCAGGGTCAATGGCTGCACAGAACATTGTGTCATTGACACAGGCTTTATGTAAACCTTTATTGGGAGAAATTACAGGTTCGTATGACAGTGGGGCGTTTTACACACAATCCATTGGCTGCAGCTTTTTGGATTGTGTCAAAAACTGACAGGCAGTCTCCTGTCTGGTGTACGCAGTTGGGCATCATCGCTGTCACTAGAATAGCCAGGGAGAAATGTGTTGCAGTGCGATCTGCATTGCAGTACATCCAGTGGATCCCAGAGGAGACATGCAAGTTAAGGAATAAAAATTTTTATTGGAAAAAACATAACGTTATACCCAAGCATGTAACATTACCCCCCCCCCCCCCCCCCCCCCCCCCACCCCCCCCCCCCCCCCCCCAAAAAAAAATGTTGACCTATATTGGCTCATGAGTTGATAAATGTATTGTTTATACATTACACTTATATTGATATTCTTTAAGTAGAAATATTTTTATGAGTTGATGATGTATAAATTGCTGTTGAACACAGAGTCGAAAGCAGTCTGGTTTTGGGGTTGCTATACTTTCCATACAGTTGTCAAGTCGTGTATCCAAAAAACTTTACTGAGCACTGTTTTGTGTCCTTATATTAAGGGCTGAAGTTTGGATGTATTTGTTTCCTAAACATATCAAGCATTGTGCTAATTTTCCCAAAACAATTTTGCTGTCTTTTACCATTGTAGTTTCTGTACTGTATATCCATTTTCCTTCACTCAGTTCCCAAGCAAATATATTAGACTCTGTTGTTGACTGTAAGAAAAAGAAAACAAGACTGAATTTCTAGTGTTCAAATGGACAGTCAAGGCACAGGCAGTTTGTGACATTTCAGTGGGCGTTTTTTTAGCGCATGATCTAGGCAAACTTAGAAATGAACAAATTTGTTGGTTCCCTTACATGAAAAAAAACCCCCACATACTTCTTTTGAAACAACTTGAAACTGATAAAAGTATTTGGCGTCCATCAGTGTCTATTCCATATGTAACAAAATCAATGTTTGTTTTTGATATTTGATTCAACATAATATTTAAAGTAAAACAAATGAAAATGGTATGTACAAAAATAATGGGTCCCTTAATTCAATAATTTTTATATAACGTTATAAAGTGTTACCGAAACCCACAACAGTAAAATCAGTCTGTATATGCACTAAAGCATGCTTGTTATACTCACTGTGGAACCTCAGGGGTTAATCCTCTGCATTGTGTAAAAAGGCTGTTTTCTGTCTTCTCTGCCCATCCTCTTGGTGAAATGTCCACCTGATACAGACTGAATTCGTAGTCACCTGCACATGCTTAGTTTGGTGTGTATTGCTAGGGAAGTTTTTTTTAGTTGGAAGGGTACATGGAATTAGCCCAGGGCCAATCAGCACTGTCCAGACAGAGGTCAGGGGTTTCACATCCTCCTAGAGCAGAAAGAAAACTCCTCCTACAAGCTTTAACCAGTGCTCTGCTGAAGTCACAAGGCTGCTCTAACTGCTGCTGAGAAAAGGTATTTAGCAGTTTATATTTACCACAATAATTGCATTTCCATGTTTTGTATACTGTAGGAGACCAGATATAGTGAATGCAGGGTCCTGGGTTTAGTAACACTTTAAGGCAGATATAATCAGTCACAGCAGTAATATTTGTAACCCTCAATGAGACCTCTGCACTTGCTAATATGTGGTTTAGCCTACACCTCTTGAGCAAATTGTTCCAGCTGCCTCCTGTTTGAAGGGTGCATTCTCCAGTTTGCATATTTTATCTCCTTCCTTAGTCTTTTGATGCAGCTCAGATTACAACTCAGAGAGTCACTTCAGAATAATACAATTTGTTTTCATAGTTATTTTTTGTGTGTTTTGGGACATTATCCTGTTGGAGGGCCCATGATCTGCAACTGAATCAGAACTTTCTGACACCGGGAATTATGCTTTGTTTTAGAATTTTTCATAGTTGTCAGGATTCATTGTGCCCTGCACAGATTCAAGGCACCCTGTGCCAGGCGCAGCACAGCAGCCCAGAAACATAACTAAGCCTCCTCCATGTTTCACAGTAGGTGCTGTGTTCTTTTCCTCGAAAGTGGGATTTTTCTGTCTGTGATCACAGAATGATGTGACTTGCCACAAAGCTCCAGTTTTTTCCCATCTATCACTTAGAAGCTTTGTGGCTTGTCAGCAGGAATGTATTTTTGCAAATTCCAGTCTGGCTTTTTCTGTTTTTTCTTTCGGTGGAGTCCTCCTGGCTCTTCTTTTGAGCCTGCTGTCGCTCATAAAATGATGGATTATGTGATTAAAAACTGATATATCTTGACATTAGAAGCTCAGCTTGTATCTTTTTGGAAGTTTTACTTGGATCTTTTACACACTATTCTTTTTTTTTTTTTGGCTCTTGTGGGCATAGAGGGTGATTGGCTGCACTTCAGTGGACCATAAATTACTATAATACCATTTTCAACTGTAGTCACAGGTACGTCACACTTCTTGGAGATGCTCTTATAACCTTCTTTCTGATCTCCCCATGGTCCATGTTCAGTGTTGTGCACACAAGGATACTAAACAGCCACTTATTTTTCCATTTGAAGCCCAACTCTAGGATTTAAAAAAAAAAATAAAAAATCAACCTTGTAGTTGGGCCTCTGCAATGGCTAAAGGCTTATGTCTAGAGGTGCATGAATAAGGTTTGAATATTATTCCTCATTCCAGTAAGGTCCCTCTAGTGTTGGAACCAGTCCCCCGTGGCCTGCTTTGTAAGCTACGACTGCCTCTGGTCGCATTCCAGCCTCTACAGTGTACAATACTAAGTTATTGTATTATGTGATGATAACAAGGCTTTGCCCACGTACTGGAGTTTCAGGCAGAGCTGGAGAGTGCCGGAGCTTGCTGTAGCAGGGTTGTGACCTAAGAACTACAGCCTGTCCTGTAACCTCTAGACATAACGAGCAGTTAACCCCTGCAGGGTGGGGGGTGGATTTTTATATTCCTGGTGTCAGGCTTTTTTTAATCACTTACAGTTCTGGCATTCCTCTTCTACCTAAAAAAAAAACATATTTTTTTTGGCTAGAAAACTACTTGGAACCCACAAACATATATTTTTAAGCAGAGGCCCTAAAAAATAAAATGGGTGTTGCATATTTTTGTCACACGATATTTGCAAAGCAGTTTTTCAAAGGCAAATTCTTTGGAAAGAATACCCTTTTAATTAAATTTAATGCACAAAAACCTAATACTCATTTTTTTGTAAACCATAAAATATGTTGCGCCGAGTAAAAAGATACCAAACATGTCACGCTTTAACAATACGTCCGCCTCGGCAGCAAACTACAGTACCTTAAAAAAAAAAAAAAAAAAAAAAAAAAAAAAAAAATTCCATAGATGATATTTTAAAAACCTTTACAGGCTACCAGTTTAGAGTTACAGGGGTGGCCTGGAGCTAGAATGATTGCTCTCTGACGTTCTCAACAATGCCTCATATGGGTGGTACAATCGGCGTTTATACATGTGTATATGGGACCAACACATGCACATTTGTATTTGCGTGCAAGCAACCTTTTTTACAGTGTTTGTTTTTTTTTTTTTTTTTTTTTGCTTATTGCTTTCTCATGTGATAACATCCCATGTGATAGCATGAGCTATGACAGGTCCTCTTTATGGAGTGATCTGGGGCCTATAAGAACCCAGATTTA